CGCTAGTTACTGGGGAGAAGAGACCGACCCCCACCTGGCTACCCCCTCCTTTCAGGTCGTTGTAGAGAGCCATCAGGTCTCCCCTCAGCCTCCTCTTCTCCAGACCAAACACCCCCAGCCGCTCCTCGTAAGGCTTTTTCTCCAAGCCCTTCACCAGCTTTGTCACTCAAGCAGCTAAGACCACTGGGAAGTCTACTGCACACAATCTGTGTCAGTAATGGACTGAACCCACAGCTCCATAGGCAGAGGGTCTCTGAAATTCCTCAGCCAGGGGAAAAGCAGATTTAAACTGAGAGTCCAGTAAAGTCCTAGCGGGCTCTAGGTAGGAGGAACACCCATTCTGTCTTGCTATCCAAAGGACCTCAGAAGTATCACTGACTTGTGATCATCTGGGAAGGAGCCTTTCATTTGCAGTTGGGTTTATTCAGATTTTTTTTTTTCTGAGTTGATCAGATTTAGCCAGAGAGAAAGACAGGAAGGCACAGAGAATACAAAGGACACCTTTGGGTAAATGGGATGCGAATGGTTCATCACGCATTCATTATATTGCTGAGAATAGGAAAAATGTCAAATAAGGAGGTGAAACCTCAGGTCTGCCAAAGCATTTAAATAACAGCATCATTCCTAGCTTTACCATAATAGAAAAGCTTTGGCCACTCTTAGTCTTGGCAAAGACCGCACAAGGAGTACAACTGCTCCTACAAACAGTAGCTGCTTAAATCAAGTGTGATTTCAATGGTAGTGAGATTAAAAATACACATTCAAATTTACCTCTGGTGTTGGAAGCCAAACTCCGTCAGATTCAGTAAGCTGCAGCAGTTTAATGTGATGGTGAATGTTTTTTTTTCAGGCTGGCCTGGAAAAGCATCTGGATGCCAGTTATCCACCAGTACCTGGTTGTTACTTCTTCATTTCCACAGCTGTCTTCACGCTCTGACCACCCACCATGCCAGCCCTGCTCTGCGAGGAATGGGTACAGGAACCAGCATGGAGAGAGAGGGAAACGGATGGGAAACCTTTGCTGCCTCCTCCCAGCTAAGGGAGGAGATCATTGCCACTTCCAGCCCTTCATGCTCACACTCATGGGATGTTCTCAGGAGGCATCTGTAAGCAAAGGCCACCTTTGTCGCTATGCACTGGTGGCGACCTTGCAGCTGAAAGCAGCCTCTTCCATCTGGAGCAACCAGCTGTGAGCCCATGCCGGAGTCCTGACCTCCACAGAGCCTGGACCCACAGTGCTGTCACGGACCCACCACCCAGACCGATACTAGTGGTGACACCTCTGCGAAGGATGTACGCTCAACCCTTCAGTTATGCTGCTGGCAGTCACCTGGCAGGCAGCACCAAGGGCTGTGATGCTGGCTAGCCAAGCTGAAAGGGTGAATACTGAGTGTCTCATCCATTTTCACAGTCATATTCCTGCCACCAAGAAAGGCAAAATAATAGGATCAGAGTCTGACTGACTGCGGCAAATTGCAGAGGCAGCATC